TTTTTTTATATTTTCTTTTCCTTTTTCTTTCTTTTCAATTATTATTTTTCGTTTTATTGCGCTTTGCGCGAACATATAGTTTATTATTTTTATTTTTCTTCTTCTCTCTCTATCTCTCTCTCTTTACTCATATTTATATATACATAGATGCGTGTATGTAGAGAAAAGAGAGATGTATGTATAATTTATATATATATATATATATATATATATATAAAGCTCAATAATTATAATATAATATGAGCCTTATTCTTTAAGTATATTTTTGCTTTGCTTTGCTTTGCTTTTTTTTTTTGTTCTTTTCCTCTATTTCTCTCTTTAGAAACAGAATATTGTTAATAACAACAGTTGGTAGTAGTATTTAGCATTAATAGTAATAATAATAGCAATAGTCATAGTATAGCAATAGCAATAGTACAGTAGTAGTAGTAGTAGTAGTAGTAGCAGTAGTAATAGTAGTAATAGATGTAGTATAGATATAGTTGTTTTAGTAATAGAATAGTAGTAGTAGTAGTAGTAGTAGTAATAGATATAGTATAGTATAGTTATGTGTTGTAATAGAATAGTAATAGCAATAGTAGTGATAATAGTGTCGATAGTAATAATAGTAATATAGTAAATAGTATTTATAATGATAGCAGTAATAATTACAATAAAATAAAGTAAAATCAGTCAATATTTGTTTAAAAAGAAAAAGAAAAAAAAAGAAAAAAAAAACTTATTAATAATAATTATTATATATAAAATAAAATAAAACAAAAAATAATATTAATAATAATAATAGTAATAATAATAATAGTAATAATAATAATTAATTACATTACAATTACTATAATATGTCCTGTGTTTTAAAATCAGACGAATTCCATTTCCTGAAATGGATAACACGAGAAAAATAATATTGCATACATCTCAAGACAGAATTCTTCTTTACATTCTCATTTTACTCTTATTTTTTTTTTCTTTTCTTCTTTCTTCGTGCATTCTCTTTCTCTCTCTCTCTCTCTCTCTCTCTATCTATCTCTCTATCTATCTCTGTCTTTCTATCTTTCATTTTTTTTTGTATTTTATACGATTTTATATTTGCTCTATCATCATTCCTCTTCTTTTCTTTGTTTTCTTTCTTTCTTACGTTCATTCTGTTTTTCTCTTAAAATTCTATTTAGATGTGTATATATATATATATATTTTATTCTTCTTTCTTCATTCTTATTCTTCTTCTTCATTTCTGTAGATGCAGCCAAGTCAAGGAAAGAATCTATCTTTCTAATAACATTTGGCTCGCCAAATTCTGTCAGTTTCTCATTTAACAGTACAATTGCATCAGATTTTTAATAAAAAATATGATTTACATACACACACATATATATATATATATATATATATATATATATTTATATATTTATATGTTTCGTGTCACTCAAATACAATCTCGTCCTATTTTTGCATGATCATTTTCAATTGTCAAACATTTTTTTTTTCTTTTTCATTTTTTTCCTCTTTCATCTTTATCTTCATCATTATCATCATTATCATCATCATCACCATCATCATCATCATCATCATCATTTGGTAATGTTATTAAAGCGTGAGAGTATAATATTAATATTTATATATTCTTATCGCAATGAAATATTTTAATGTCGCATGTGATTATCATCTCGACCAGTCAAATTTGTTTCATTCACATTTTTTTCATTCTTCCCATATTCATTTTCAAAATTTACCATATACATAGTATAATTTTAGTCTTTTATTCTTACCACCCAACCTTGCACTAACCCTTTTTTTTACCTTTTGCAATAATCTGTTATTATTTTTTTTTTCGGACAAGTATTATTAACGTGTAATTTTTGTTCTGTATCATCGTATTTTGTTTTTTTTTTTTTTTTTTTTTTTAAAGATAAAACTTACTATACGTCCAATAAAACAGTCACGAAGGAGAAATGGTTTTTTCTTTTTAAGCTTCACCAAAACCACCAAGAGCTTGTTCGGTCATTCTCAAGCAGAGAGTTTCAAGGCTTAAATTTATTTCTGGCTCGGTTGTTTCTGCTCCATTATTTCTACCATTATTTTCACCTCCACCACCTCCGTTTCCTCTTTGACCAAGAAAATGATCTCTTGGTGCACTATATGTTCGTTGCAACGTTCTTTGTAGTTGCTATAATAAATCAAAATACAAATTGAGATTATTTTTGCTTTACAAAACTATCAATTTTAACTATGGGTTATATTCTTTGTATTCATTTTTAAATTAATGAAAATTCAAGCAGAATATTCATGGAATTTCTATTGAACAAAGTGAACATCAAAAACGTTGAATGATCATAGTTATTAGTAATATCAAAAGAGTTAAAACCTTTGAGCAAAAATAATTAATAATAAATAAATAAATAAATAAATATATATATACCTCTAAACTGCTTTCTTGTAAACTAGGTCTTTTCTCAGCCGTATGTACTGGACGTAAGTTATTCTGATTCATAGTTTGAATCTGATTATTTTGTATGTTGTAAGGTGTCGATATACTATTTCTATGTGGACTAATGGCAAAAGAATTATGTGAGTGAGTATTATGAATATGATTTAAATTTAAACTCGGTTTTCTATTGTGTTGTTGAAGATTGCAAAATCTTCGATTATTATATCCGTAATTACTATATTGCCATCTAAAATTCAAACGATTACAATTAATACAATAATTATTACGTACATATATATATATTTTAATGAATATTAAATAGATTTCATACTTTGGTACTGGTCGTGGATTACCAAGTCTACTACGCCATTGTTGTACTTTTTCCTTTTGATTTGGAGTAAAGCAGTCATGTTGCAATACCTTTTCTAACACATTAATGCATGCACATAGAATACCATCGTCAACGCTGTCTAGCGCCAGTCTGCTACATACTATAAAAATGGTTTAACGATTTTGAAAAATATTAAATACAAATAAAGGGAACCAACAAAAAAAAAAAAAAGATCAAAGAAATTAGCTTACGTTTTCCAAGTACTTTAGTAAATTGTGTAGGTATATCCTGAGGATCACTTTCCTGACTTGGTTTTAATGGTGTCGCTAATATGGTTTTCAATTCGTCAAGAGTATTGACAAGCAGTATTGGCCCTTGAGAAAATGAAGTACCTTGCGTACCATCTCGAGTTGGTTGCAAAAGATCCTTTTCTAAGTTAACTAAAGTCGTATAACGTTGTTGCAATTTAGCAATGGATAAAGCTAACTTATGTCTTGCTCCTTTCGTTACACCTTGTTCAGCTAATTGATCTTCAGTTAGTTGTAACATTTCTTCATAGCTTAGTGTAGCGAACAAGTAACTGTATTTGTGGAGACGTAACGTTTTAAGCCATGATGGTACATCTACGTTTGAAATATTTTTAATAAATTCAATTAGTTGAATCTATTTTTTGGTTTAAATTCATTGGCATATAATGGTGTAATAAAAGATATATATTTTTGTTAATATATACCTTTCATTCCACTTGCCAATGTACGATTAGAAGCTTCATCTAAACGACCCTCGCTACCACTGCTTGCACAAGAACTCTGCGGACTGAGAGGACTTAAACCTATTAGACTATCTACAAAAAGAGAAACAATATTATTACATTTTCTTATTCAATTCAATATAATAGTATGAATGATTAAAAATATTAAATTCATTATTAAACTAACTGGTATGATCTATGGAAATACTAAAACTGCGTGGTTTGTGTCTTGTGGAGTTATTAGCGTTATTGGTACGATCGACGACTTCAAGATGATGTGCTGATGCATCTGGTGGAGTCAAACTATTTGAACGACGTTGACGAGTTACAGGAGGAGGAAATTGTAGATTAAATGTGGTACTTGGCTGTGTGCCAAACAAATGTGTTTGTTCATTTGATTGTTGTTGCTGTTGTTGTTGTTGTTGCTGTTGTTGTTGCTGCTGTTGCTGCTGCTGCTGTTGTTGTTGTTGCTGCTGCTGTTGTTGCTGTTGTTGTTGCTGCTGCTGTTGTTGCTGTTGTTGTTGCTGCTGCTGCTGCTGTTGTTGCTGCTGCTGCTGTTGTTGCTGCTGTTTAGAATTCCTATTCCACACATTATCCCACCTTTAATGTAAAATATTGTCCAAATATAGATATTTATTACATTATTAAAATCTAAACTTAAAGCATATACGATCATATCCAATAATTCATATTATTATTCACCTTGTCGTGGTGCTTGTATATTCTTCAAGATTAGGAATTGTAGTACCACTGATACGCTCTTCGAGATGTTTTAGCCATTGTGTTAGTGAACGTCTATCTTGACTAGTTATAGCAGGATGAATTAATGTGTAACTTAGCAACTGTTGAGTTTGCTCAGTGAATTGACCTGTGCTCACGCAATGACTAACTAATTCAGGTATTGCAACAAGATAACATTGTTTGCACTCTATATTCCCAGGCCTTAAAAGCGGGAGATGTGTTAAAAGTTGATTGATGGCAACATCGGTAGATTCAGAGAGTAACGAACCAATGAAAGCTACAATTTTCAAATTTTCTTTAGTTTTTTACTAATAAAATATAATATCAATTTTAGCACAAATACAATCTTAGTAATTGATTACCTGGATTATTAGCATTCAATTCTAGAGTATCTAAATCAGAAACAGCATGAAGAGAATGTTGTATGGCGTGTGCTAGAAATCTAGCTTGAGCAGCTGGTATACGACGTAGTAGAGCATAAAGTACCACAGTTTGTTCGCACTCATTCCACTGAGAGAATACCCGAGTAAGATCACCAACTTGTTCACAAAACAGAGCACCCGTTGACCACTTCATTTTATATCACACTTATTGATATAACTTATAGAACGTCTACCATCACATCCAAGAAGTTGCTGTTTAAGTCTTTCCGAGAAGAGGTTATATGAACCTTTAATTAAAATCTTTCCTCTTCCAAGAGTTACTCTCTAGCAAAAATACAAAAACAATATGTAAGATCAAAATTGTATACTTGAGATTACAAAAATTAGTCACCATATTATATATAAATATAAATATATATATATATATATATCTATTACATCCTTTCTGAATATTACAAGCCAAATAAGGGGAGCACTGAATTCTTAACCTTTAAAAGTCAAAAACAAGAAAATAAAAGGAGACGAAAATTGTGATTGCCTAAAAATAACAACGAATCGTCGACAACAGTGTCGATTTAAACACTCTGATTATACAATCAAAACGAAAACGTTAATAAGGCCTATTAGAACAAAAATAAAACATTAAAAAGAAGTTAAAAAAATGAATTTACCGAGTAAGAATATATCTCCCGGTTGTTATAAATGACAATTCATAAACGTTGAGGAAGGTCAGTTGTTCGACTGTATGTCCAAAAGCATCGTTTTAAACTTTCTATATACTTCCTAACGTTAAGAGAACATATCGGTTTGAATAAAAAAAAAAAGGTCAGAGCCGGATAAACGCAATACTTTAAAACACAGTTCCACCCTAACACAATCATGTATACATAGATATATATATATATATATATATATATATATATATATAT